ATGGCTATAGAAAAGAAACACCTTTATGAGTGAGATCACATTCTGACCTCTCTGTGTGTGGAAGAGGCAGACGAGAGGTGATCAGAGGAAGCCACAGGTGGAGGAGGCCCTAGGACCTTGCCAGGATACCACGTTTGGTGAAACCTCGATGGTGACGAGGACAGACAGGTTTCTGGAACATAAGGATGTGCAAACCATGCGAGATTGCACAGGACAACATCCCCCAGCGTTAGCTAGGGATATGGTCAGCGGCAAGGCGGGGGAGGGGTGTGACTGGGAGGACTGCTAACCTGAGGAGCCCAGTGAACACACCTGGGCTATGTGTCCCCATGGAGGCTGCAGGTATGCAGAACAGTTTGAGGATCTGAACAAAAGACAGAAGAAGGATGGGCTCCGAAATGGAAAGCTAGCCTTATGAGGAATTCTGAATTTAAAAACAAGAGGGTTTTTGATTGCTAGCAGATAGGCAAGAACAGTGAGCGAAGTCCCTGGTGGCTCTTGACAAGACGCTAGAGGCCTGCACTGTCGCCTGGAGCACAACAGGACTTGCTGACTCTACTCCAGACACGAGTGCTCTCGTGATGATGGATTTTCACACTTTTTAATCAGTTATGCCCCAGTTGTATGTTTAATGTCAATCCTTCCCTTCTCTACCTGCCCCCAACACACAGGAGAATACCCTTCCCGTTATAAACTGAAATTAATGATTTATGCTTATAAACACACTGGATACCTGCCTGGTTTCTTTGCTTTTTGAACAATACAATAATAATACATTCGAGTAGAAATTCACAGATGCCAAAGCAAACATAATTTTGAGGTAAATGCCCTTTCCCCAATTGTTGTCTGATTAATTGTTCTAAACCATAGTGTGACCTTGTCATTATTCTGCAATCCAAAAACCCGTCCCTTGTGCATCTGTGAGGGGAGGTTTGTACTAACAGGCCCTCCATCTGACCTTTAAATCTCCTCCTGCTGCTGTGGTGACTTCGTCTACCAGCCCACATTCCATCCGCTCATTCTCTGTGACCCAGTTCCAACGCCATGATCCCTGGTCCCTCTCAAGGGGAAAAGCCCTCTTACTTTGGTTTTGGAGTCTTCGATTTTGTCCTCTCTCAGACTGAACTCCCTTAGAGACTCCTGAGCAGGTGCCTACCTCCTCAAAGGGGTGTCCCTAACTGTGTGGCAGAGGACACTATCAGTGTGATCCAACATAAAATGACAAATTTATTTTAAGAACTGAGGGTTGGGCGCTGGAGAGGTCATGGTTAAGAACATGGACTACCCTTACAGAAGACCTGAATGTGGCAACCACACAGGACCACCCAGCCATCTGTAATTCCTGCACCAAGGAGCCTGAAGCCCTGTTCTGGCTTCCTGGACACCTATACACATGCACTAACATTAAATCTATTGAAAAAATGTTTTGTAATGTTTTTACGTTTATAGACTCGATTGAGTGACTGTCTAGGTGAACTTTGTGTAAGATAAAGATGCTTTGCAACACCAAAAGATTGGCATGCCTGTTTGCTGACGCAGGGAGGCGTGGTCTCCGAGGGGAGGTGTGGTCTTCCACAGCTTCCGAACAAGTAAACACTGGGCAGGCTGGGGACATCCGCCTAGAGATGATCCATAATGGTGGAATTGCCCCAATCTTATGTGGCAGGCACGTCATGCATCCACGAGTCTGCCAAAGAGCCTCCCCCAAGCAGGGTGACCTCTTCCCTTCGGTCAAATTCTCATATTTGTCGCCATCGACCCTGTACAAATCAGAACCTTGCACGAATGTCACAACACCGCAGCACCGAGGAACACATTCACGGAAAAGATGAGAAACTTGCCCAAAGACACTCATGAAGTGCCAGGGCTATAATTCCGACCTGGGTCTCCGTTAGCGCGTGGCATAGTGCGCTTTCTAAGACCCCACAAACTGTGAGCTTCTAAGGAAAGACACAGGTGTCCTGTGGAGTGCGGTGACAAAGAGCTCTCCACCAAGCTTTGAGAGCACTGAGCCTTTACGCACGCGCTATCAACATCCTTGGGTCTCCAGGAACTCGACAGGCCCCACGCCAAAGGACGCGCTGACTGTTTATGGCACAGCGAGGCCACCGTACAGCCTCGGCTCACAGTAAGGGGACTGGCGGCACCTCACAACCTGGTGACAGGAGTGATACAGTCGCTATCGGGGCCGAAGCAGCCCAGGGCTGCCCCAACGGCCGCCACCCCCGGAGCAAGGCAGGGTCCTGATCACGTGGTCCGACGACGCTGCTTCTCCCCACCCCTGCCTGGG